AAAGAAAGAAAAAAAGAAAGAACGATAGATGGATAGATAGATAGATAGGTAGGTAGATAGATAGATAGATAAATAGATAGATAGATAGATAGATAGAGATAGAAACAGATATAGAGATAGAAACAGATATAGAGATAGAAACAGATATAGAGATAGAAACAGATATAGAGATAGAAACAGATATAGAGATAGACACAGATATAGAGACAGAAACAGATATAGAGATAGAAACAGAGATAGATATAGATAGATGGATGGATGGATAGATATAGAGATATAGAGATATACATAAATATATATATATAGATAGATACAGAGATCGAGAGATAGAGAGATAGATCGATAGATAGATAGATGCAGATGTAGATGTAGATGTACATATAGGTATAGATACCGATAATTGTTATTAACAAGGGATGCGAGTAGCTTCCCATACCCTGCACTTGGGAGGAGCTGCCAACACTTCTGGGTAGGGCTGACAAAGCTGAGGTGCCGGGGTTTCAACCGATGACCCATGGATACTTTTGGGATCCGATGTGGAAAAGCCTTTGGAAAACCAATGGTTTTGCCGGGAGGATCTACAAAGGGTGGGTAAACTCCACATCAAAAAGCCAATAAATCATCCAAAAAAAAAACGTTACAAATGGGTGGTCTATTTTTTTTACCATCCCCGAAGGATAGGTTTGTTAATGGGTTTCTCACGTTATTAGATACCCCCCAGCAAGGACACGAAAATGAACAGATTCCATACTAAACCAAGGTTGTTTTGTTTGGGAGGTATTTGTATTCGGCGGAGGGATTCCGTCGAACCCTTGCTGTAAACAGGAAAAATCAAGGATATCTACTAACCTGCTATTAACCGTGTTTCTGTGGCACGCGGGCCATGTTTGAGGGATGCAATGTCCATGTTGAAGGGTATTGAATTGGTATTCCTTACGGATTGAAACATGCCCAAGAACTTTGAGCATATGTCCCCAAGTATCCCAAACTGGACATTGATCTTGGGAGTCAAATCCTCACAGCAAGGAGCAGAGCGGCCCAAAGTGTTTGCTGATTTCATCCTTCTTACATGACGAGGTCCGCATTGCGGGTTGCTGGCGGGTTGCTGGCGGGTTGCTGGCGGGTTGCTGGCGGGTTGCCTTGGTTGCTGCTTCTTGTTGCAAACCATGCGTCGTTGAAAAGCACAACTAATGGGTTCCTACGGAAATCACTGAGGTGGTTTATAGAAGGGAACATTTATAGCAAACCTTCATCATTTATCATCATGTCATTATTTAATCGGAAAAGACATAGTGGCCAGTTCGGATTTTACCTTAAGCCAATGCATTGCTTGGATGCGGTGCCTGATCTGAGTAAAACAATATGATTAAGATGATTTAAGATATTTGGTGTGATGTCAATCATGATCGTCAACCATATTTGGGATGATGATCCCCAATGACTAAATATGTTTCAATGCGGTTCATTATTCATTATGAAAAATAACTGAGACAGCATGTTTCTTGATAATGAATATGAATGGTTGGTCAAACATTACTAAATCTAGTTGGTCTGGTAAACTCAATAATAACTCGTCCCCAAAATCACTACAAATGGGTGATAACCATCATCCCCAAGTGGTAGCTTTATTATTGGGTTTCTCACATAAATTTTAATCAACCATATTAACTATTATCAACATATATTAATCATTATTCACCACTCTTAAGCACTATTAACTACTATTCACCACTAATTTTGGGCACTATTAGCCATTATATATTCACCACAAATAGCCACTATTAACCACTATTAACGTTTTGGAACACGTCCCCCTGTCTCTGCAGGAGGAGTCAAACGCAGCGCCACGAGTCGTGCAGCCGCCGGACATGTACAGGACAAATGAACGCTTTTAAAGATCTTCAATAAGCATCCATTAGCATCTCCATAAGCTATGTTGAAATTACCGGAGGATTACCGCAGGGAAATCCACTCTATATAATTATATTATATATATATATATTGTATACTGTATACATACGCATATATATATATATATATGTATGTAATACGTATAAATCCGATGCATCTAAGCAGCATTTTGGGGCCATCAGTTTTTTCGTGAGATTCGGGGTTCCAGGGATCTATAGGGATTCAATATGATGGCATATAACGGAAGACATAACCAATAAATGTCAGCAATATGATACTTGAGTCTTACCAAAATTGGGTACACCCACAAGTTTATTTTTATTTTTTTGATGGGGCATTCTATTTGACCCGTGGATGGAATGGAGTACCCTAGTTTTAGACAGTCACATATGCTTGCCATCGCCCACTAAACAGCTACATTCAGTGAGTTTTATTTTCATCATTAGGCAGGAAGCAAAAGACTTTTTCTAGTCGTTTATATCGTGTTTATTTGCCAGCGAGAAGAAACTTTAGATCGACTTCAGATACACCTGGATTAACTCCTAGGGTTGTTTCTTCGTTTCATTTTGCTAGTTCTGTATTTGGAATGGACATCCATCATTTGGCAAGAATCATGATATACACAAACAGAATCTCACTTGCCTTTTCTTTATGAATCCATATGTTACTTAGTTTAGCAATGAAATGCCAAGCAATTAGCATATATATATATATATACACATTGGAAGCTTGCATGATTTCCTTCAGTGAACATGTATTGGTCCCACATGATCAGTTTCAAGCCGCTTTGTCTCAAGTTCATATGAGGGAGATAGGGATCCATTCAGCCTGGGCCGTATCCCATCTCCTTCGATCGCTCTGGGCAGACTCAAGCGTCCACTTCTTGACTGAGAGGCTTACTGGTGAAGTGGCCCATCTTCAGGCAGAGCTGCAGAGGACCTTGCTGCTTACGGTGAGATCTTGGATAGTTGTGAGAATGCACGGGCAGGCGAGAAAGGGATTCCTTGGTTGTTTGTCATTGTGGTGATTCTTACTTTGATTTGGCTTTGGTTTCTGCTTGTCCACAAGCCAAAAGCTCCTGCTGTCCGATGGCTTCCCATCAAGACTGACACTGTCTAGTGACTCTGATTCAGAAGAGCCAGCAGTGGTTTCGGTCAGCAAGGGTCTGCCTTCTAGACCTTTCTTCTGGCCCTCTGCGTCCATCCTCCTTCGGTAAGGGCAGAAGTCTCAAGTAATGGCAGCAGACGAACTCACTCTTGAAATCTCAAGTCTTGGTGCACTTTGCCAATGATGCCAATGGACTGGATTAACATCACAGGCTGTTGCTGGAAAAGTTAGGACCAGGGAGGTGGAGGTGGATTGTCAGCACGCCCGACCTTGAGTTTCAAGTGCTTGATCTGAATGTGACGCGCCATCGCATTCTGGGACGTAGGGCAGCCTCTCCAGTAGATGCAGCAGACCAGATTTACGCCTTCGATCCCTTGAGCAGGGCTGACTTAGAGAGACTTAAGAAACAGGCGGGGACCATGGTCTTGGGAGATGAGGATGTCGAAGATGTGCCCTCTCAGAATTGGATGCGGCGATCGGGCTGCTGGAGAACCTCTGGCTTTCGGACTGGAGGCGGATTTTTCTGATTGCTTCTACGATAATGTTAACCCACAGTTGGGTAGCTGGTTTGGTGTTGCCCTCAAGCGTAATGCAAAAGAATGGGTGAATCTAGTTTGGAGAGGAGGCCTGTTTTCAGTGATGAATCGCAGTCTTTCTACATCCCAGAGGATCATGTGCAGTTGCACCCTGTTTTTGAGGGACTTTGCACTGGTTGGAGTTGGGCTCTCTTTTTGGCCAACGGAGCGGTGGCCTTTCCTGTGAGTGGCGAATTGAGAAACCCCTTAGTGAGATTCGGGATCGATTGCCCCCCTGATATGGGGCATCAGCATGGCATCACTGGTGCTTACGCGGATAACATCTCCATTGTGGGGTCTTCTTCGCTTGCTGTCCAACAAGCTCGCGATTCGATCTCAACGCGGTTTGAGAAAGATGACATATACCCCTCACCTGGCCAGCGGATAGCCCCCCGACTCGAGAAAGCAGTGGCCCGAAACAAGCCCAGACGGTTATGGGGAGCATTCCTGGCTGGTCAAGCTATACTGCGGAAGCGTCGTGTTTCGATCAGAGCTCTCGAAATTTGGTTGGGGCACATGACATCTCTGTTTGTGTTGCAACCGGCTTTCCTGTCACTCTTTTTCCATACATATTGGTTCATTCAAAGGTTTTGGGGCAGAAGAGCTGAAGTTTGGCGAGAGGTGAGGGCTGAGATTCGTCTGGCTCTAGGAACGATGTAGCTCTCCCGATCCAATTTGTGTTTCGATCCGGTTTTCCGGATCGATGTTGGAGACTCCTCGGGTGGTGCCTATGCCATGATGACCATGGGGCTCCAAGTCTGAGATTTCACACGTTTGTCGATGGAGTCAGACCTGTATACCTGAGGAAACCAAACTAGCAGTCAGAAAGGGAGACCGTGGGGAGTTGATCAGCCTGCTGGGGTCGTTGGAGGAACCTAGCTTAGAACTTCCCGGGCATCAGGAGATCCGCCCCTACCCAACAGTTTGGGGCTGGTCTGGCGACTCAGTATGCTTCATGGCTCCTGGAGGCGTCCTCTACCCAAAACTGGCTGAGAACTAGCGCCTTTGAACGAATTCTAGTGGAAATTCCAGCCTTGGTTCAGCCGCTAGCCAACAGTTTGCGCGAAGAAGGGAGGTTCAAGTTATTCTGGAGGAAGCGAGGGCGTGGAGGTGGTCACAATATGCACATCATTCTGAAGGAAGGTAAGGTGGCTCTCAAGCAGTTTGAAACGAACCTGTAGAGTAGCCAAATTGCACGGGAAGGTGAAGCTCACCCTCACCGACAACTTGAGCTGCTTAATTGTGTGCTTTTGAAAGAGGGAGGGCACCGAACTACAGTCTTAACCTGCTTTGTCGGACAGCTGCCGCCTACACAGGTGGGTGTGGCATTAAGTGGAGACTGCGCCACATAGAGAGAAAACGCAACCCTGCGTAGCCGGTTCCATCAGCACATCGGCCAGTGGAAAGGTCAGGTCTCAGCTGCGAAGGTTTTGCCGAGCTCCTCGTCGTCAGTGCGGGCCTCCGGCACCGCAGTACACGGTCGGACCGAAGCACCTGAGACCTGTCCTTATAAAAGAAGCTCTGCTGACGAGTCCGGCGATGCGAAGCGGTGTAGCAATGAAGCAGCTCACAGAACTCAACCTCGGCCAGAGGTCCACTTGTCCAAACTGGATGATGAGGCTAGGCGGTCATCGCCGGACACCAATTTTCTGAAAGCGGAAGACAGGTCGCCTCTAGGCAAGGGTATGTTTCTTGATTTCTTTCCAGCACAGGGAGACTTCCCTCAGCCGTCAAATCGTTGGGTTTATCTTATCTGCTTTGACAGCACTGGAGATCAAAGATGGAAACCTTTTTGACTTGAGAAAAAGAGAGCCACTGCGAAGACAATTTTGTCCTGGATCAGATCAGGGCGCATCAGCATAGTGCACGTAGGTACACCATGTACTGTCTTCTCTGGGGCCAGGCACTTCATTCGTCACCATGCCGGAGCCAGAGAAAAAGAACGCGTGGGGCTGAAGCTAGCCTTGTTCACGGCCGAAGTGATCAGTGTTTGCATGAGGCATGGAGTCGAATGGAGCCTGGAGAGCCCCATAATAGCATATTTTTTGAAGCTCCTTTTTCTTTGTCAGTTGCTGAACCAAAAAGAGGTATATAGTTTGTTGATTTGGATGTTTGTAGGTTCGGGGAAACCTTCAAGGAACCCACACGTATTTTCACATATTTTCACCTCTAAAAGATATAGCGGGATATAGTCAGAAAATGTTGCCATAAGAAAATGTTGTCAAAAACTCAGAGAGCTGGTCAGTATCCTTTGAAACTTGCTGAACTCTGCGCCCAAGTACTGAAGCCGCTGGTCACGCCAATTAGCTCCCATTCCCAGCTGTTGGACCTCCAATGGTGTGATGAATTCCGGCGGCGTTGCCAAAACCAACAAGTTTCGGCTGAACAGGTATACCCCGCTGAAAGTTGGGACTTCCACGTCACTCGTCTCAAAAACTTCGGTCAAGCAGCAGAAAATCGTGTTTGTGCAACACACCCAGAAGGAAGCCCAGAAGCGTGAAGAAGTCTTGCGCCAAGCCCTCGACAAGGAAAAAGGGGCGCCAAGCCACATTGGCCAGCTCGTTGCGGGCAAGTCTTCCGCGGCACAGGCAGTTGCGGGCCCTTCGGGTTAAAGATCCAACCCTGGTTCAATACAACAATGCAGTGGTTCAGTTTGAGAGTTATTGTAGATGTAGAAGATGGACTTTGTCTTCTCCTGCTGTGATTGACAAGTGCTTAGCAAACTGTTTCACTGACCTGTATGAGGACAGAGAGCCCTACAATAAGCTTCATATTCATACACCTTGTTTGGATACATACTCCTTCGAACCGATGATGCCGTGCCTGAGATGGTCATGTTCCCCCTTGCGAGAGGTGGACTGAAAGGGTGAAAGCAGCTTCTCCACCTTTATCTCGATCAGGTGCAGACCCATTGGTTTGGTATGCAATGGCTGAAGCTATGATGAAAAGGTCTCCTCTGTCGGCCAGCGCTTTGTTGCTGCAATTGGACACATATACCAGGCCTTCTGAGGTGCTGGCGTTGACTAGGCAGGACGTCCTCAAACCTTCCACTAAACACTGCATATACTAGGGCGTAATTTTTGGAAATTCCGAAACTGGATCTTTTCCAAAAACGGGAACTCAAGATGATACGGGATAGGAACTCTGCCCCTCAGCTGCTGAAATGGCTTGTCGCCAGGAAGGCCCGACCTTCAGACCAACTTTTCCCTGACCTAGATCTGGCTACGCATGAAAATCAGTTCAAGAAGGCCCGGGCTGATCTAGGCCTGAATTTGCACTGACACCACATGCTGTCAGACACTCTGGACTCTGGACCATCAATAGACTTCTTGAACCGCAGTCACTCAGCAACTGACATCCAGGCGCGAGGTAGATGGAAATCTATCAAGAGTATCCTTCGATATCAGAAACCCGGACACATGGGTTTTGGAGAGCAAGCCCAATGGACACCAAAAGTGGCTTTTGGCATTTCACTTTCCAAACATGTGTGGGCCTTCTGCTTCGATTTGATGTGACACCTCGACAGCTGAAAACTTTAAAGCTGACGATGTGACCACTACAGCCTAGCCTTCGAAAAGCTACAGCATACAAATAGATACACAAAGCGAATGCAGCCAAAAGATTGGGCCGTCCGTGCAAGTGCACTTCAGGAAATTGAAAGCTTGCGTGATATTCCTTCATTGAACATGTGTTGGCCCCACATGCTCAGTTTCAAGCCGCCTGGTCTCCACACCCACACCGCCCATTGCGGCATTTCACTTTCCAAGCATGTGTGGGCCTTCTGCTTCGATTTGATGTGACACCTCGACAGCTGAAAACTTTAAAGCTGACGATGTGACCACTACAGCTTAGCCTTTGAAAGGCTACAGCATACAAATGGATACACAAAGTGAATGCAGCAGAAAGATTGGGCCGTCCGTGCAAGTGCATTTCAGGAATATCAGTTCCCATGTTTGGTGTTTGAATCCCCTATTTCATAAGAATATGTCGGTAGTTTACCCGCAGTAAATTTGTTAAATCCGTGTTTTTGCTGGTTAGCCTTTTTGGCGGTATAGAATCACGGTTCTTGGTAGTTGAATCGAGTTTTCTGCTTGTGAATTTCCCATTTTCATGATTAAAGAATGAGTTTTTCATCTTTAAACTATGTATATTCCTGTTGTTTTTATACGTTGCCTCAGGTGTCTAATAGCTATAAATAAGTCAAATCCGTTTTTTTTGCATGGCAAAATGGTTCCATCGTGACAATGTCCTTGAGGAGATCGTTGGACCTCTTGGTTCAGTATGCCATGGCCAACGCAGCAGGTGAGGGTCACCCCACTTAAGTGGTAGCCATAGTCACCATAGTTATGATGATCATAGTTACAACATGTAGTTACAACCATAGTTACAACCATAGTTACAATAGTTACAGCCATAGATACAACCATAGCTACAACCATAGTCACTACAGTTACCACCACAGTAACTTGGAGGTTACTTGCGGGGTAACCATTTAAATTAGTGGTTGATCAGCATAGCCTCAACCCATTTATAGATGGGCTAAGCCACGAATCGGGGACTTGAAAGCCAGGGTTACTAATCAGTGTCGATTCGTGGGATGATCCTCGAAGTATGTGACATTCAAAGTACACCTGCTTGGGGAGTGTTCTTACGATCCATGTCTGGTAACATTTTTAATGACTGGGCTTACCCCATAGAAATCGGGAAATCTGTGTAGAACTGGATAAGTTGGGCCCCCTTCGCCAAATTGATTTACAAATAGGTTGACTATGGTGTAGCGTATGGTAGATGAATCTTATACTGGTCATGGTCAACAGTTCGATTAGACCAGTAAACATGGTGATTTAACGGGGCCTTACTGGAGACAAATTGGAGATACAACCAAATATATGGGGATGGGGCAAGAGGGTTGGACTAACCCGTATTGAAGGATGGTCATCAATCCATAGGGATTTCTAACCATTTCAAATATTCCCTTTCAAGGGCTGGATGACCATACCCCATACACCATCTTCTGACCCTGGCACATATGTGAGACTAAAGGTAAATCTGTTGCTGGGGCTTGTACATGTGGGATGACATAGCAGAAAGTTAACCTGGTACCTATTTAAGAATCACCATTACGATGGGATGGGTTAGGGTATGGTTCATAATGTCTAATTAGCTACTTGTGATTTATCAACCATAATAGCCTTATTATATGGATAGGGGGACCTACAATACAAACATAAATTTAAAACCACCATTTTTGGTGGGTTCCCAAATAATGACGGATTTATAATATGCGTTAAATGGCATCATCATTAGTGAACGTGAGGGTGTGATTATATATATACACACTGATTTTGTTTATATAGTACATCATAACATAATTTAATATAATATACCTTGATATTGAATGATTTAATTTAATTCGATTTCAAAGACCCTTTTTGAATATACAATATAAATAATGTGTTTATATAAATATCTGTGTGCGTATTGAACATGAATGTTTAATATGCAATACGTAGTATCTTATTTAGATTGGAAAATGAATAATAACTGTTTGACAATATACAAATATATTTTATATAATACATATTTGATAGAGTATCATGTCTAGAAAATGAATATATATATATATTATACATTTGTTTTGTGTTGTATTTTAGTTATATATATATATGATATAGTATTTGTGTTTTAAGTAAATTGGAAAATTATTATATAGTATGTTTTTATTTTTTAGTATATCATCAAATATTCATTTTAGTTTTACATATTGTTTTTACTTCTATCATATTTTTCAGTAGATCATGTGTTTTGTTTTAACGCGTATATATAAACATCATACCTCGTATCTTATTTTTCATATACAAGATATTTTTGAATATGTGTACATATACATGTTTTGATGTATAGTTTCAAAAAATGTTTGAAATCTAACATTTAAACGATATAGTATATAGTATGTATGGTTTATACAATGAAATAAAAAAAATATGATTTAATAGTTTTTTGAATATGTAGTATTCAATATTTTCAATATTTTCTTTACGAACATTTTGAGTATTATATATATTCTCACATGTATAGACAATGTAATGTATATATAGTATATACTCTGTATAATGATAATACCTATTAATTTTTAAGTTTCAACATATTTAATAGATATAAAATAGATCATGTATATTGATATGTTTCGGAAAATCTATTGTATACAACATATATTTTGTATATATACTATATTTAAAAAATGTGTGTATATATAAAAGACAAAATAGTTAACATATGAATATATATATATATGTATATTCAAAAATAATTTTATATATTACGATGATATATAATCTATAACTATACATGTATGAAAGAATATAAAACATGTGTATATATGTGTTTTTCATTAATTTAAGATATATATAGATTTATATATATATATATATTATATTTGGTATATAGTATTTATTACATATCATATTACATTCAGTATATTCTTTACAACATGTGTTTCATACATCATATTTGCAATATATGTAGTACACAATGCCATAATATGATATGTAATTTTGTTTTTGGTAAATAGATATGACATGTATTATTCAAAGTATATACTCTATATATAGTTGTAGGTGGTTAGTATATTTGTTTGAAGTAGCAACCTCATTTATATATTTTCTTTTGCACGTTTAGAAGTTCAAAATATAGTAAGAAGGAATAAAAAATATAATTTAGTTATAATATAGAATTATACCAAGAAGTTACAAATTTGAAACTATCAAGTATATTTTCTTCTCAGAAACTTAGGGACATGTGATCCGTTTCGAGCGCCAGGAAACGCGCCGGCAGCCAGTTCAGTGGTCGGAGCCGCAAGCGCCACAACCGCCGCAACGCCGGCGGGTGCCACAGCAGCCGAAGCGGCGACGACGGTGATGTTGCGTGCCCTGGCGTCCCTGGGGGTTTCCTACAATGGAGATACCCTAATGTAATTGGATGGTTTATATTGGACAATCCCATTCAA